AAACAGACAAGTTCACGAATAATTAATGTTTATTTTATTTTTCTTCTATTACTGTTGTTTTCATTGCATAATATTTTAAAGTTGCTAATGTTAATTGGATGTTGATTCGTTGTGCTATGTTCGTAAATGTGTGATGGAAGATTGTTGTGTTCTTTGATCCTAATGTTTATGTTGCGTCCTCTTTCGACTATATAAGTGCTATCGCATTGATACTTGTAGGTACTTCCACTGTTGAAGTTGTCAGAATAAACCTTCCTTACATGATCTTTGATTTTACTGCACGGTTTTTGAATAAAAGTAGCTTTGTTGTTCAATTTGTGTTTTAGTTTATGCTTGTTTCCAATCCAAATGTTAATAATGCTTTTGGTTACATAGCCATGATATGGTAAGACACCCATTAGTGTGTTCGAGTTTGCGCATTTTGTTTCCTTTATGGAGTTTATGCTGTTTTCCCTTTCTTTTTCCTGTTATTGAATTTGTTTATATATTTGGCTAAGGTTCTAGTGACAATGTGTCAGTAAATGTGTCAGATATTGACTCTAGTTCATGCCGTAGAGTATTGCTGCTGCGTGTGTTGAATGCTGTGCTGTAAACGTATGATAATGTCCAATTTTTTGTTGAGTTGAGTGGACTGAGTCCCACTTTATATGGTTGTTATCATTACCAGATTTGTGGGAGATTTTCTTGTTAAAACTGTTGGAGTTTCTCTATATTGTTATGTTCATGTCATTTAAAACCTAGTATCCATTCTCTTCTTCATTAGTGAATTTGATGTTAGAGTGAATGTTGTTTACGTATTGTAGAAATGACTGTTTATGGTTTTTATCTTCAAATCCACAAAATACATCGACGTATCTAAATCAGTGTTTGGGAGGGTGTAGAGCTGTGTTAATGGCCTGACTTTCTATTTTGTTGATAAACAATTCACTTAATCCAGGTGACAGAGGGCTGCCCATTCAAAGTTCATTTTATCCAAAAACCGAGCACTAAAATCAAAGATCATCTGAGGAAGATTTATTCTGACAAGTTCAACAATGGAAGTACCTACAAGTATTAATGCGATAGCACTTATATAGACGAAACAGGACGCAACATAAACATTAGGATCAAAGAACACAACAAACCTCCACAACGAATCACCATCCAACTAACATTAACAACTTTAAAATATTATGCAATGAGAACAACATTAATAGAAGAAAAATAAAATAAACATTAATTATTCGTGAACTTGTTTGTTTGAATTGAATTTATGCACAAAGCTACACAGTGGGCTATCTGTGCTCTGCCCACCACGGGTATCGAAACCCGGTTTCTAGCGTTGTAATCCCGCAGACATACTGCTGTGCTACTGGAGGGCTATTCGTGAACTAAAACTTAATTTAAATGAAAACACAGGAGTCACCCTATATTATTTTCTAAACAAAATGCTCTCACAGTATTTCACACAATCGACGACAGTTACCTGCTGATAGTCACACTAGTGGTCGAAACGTTCCAATAAAGTTAAATAAAAAATACAAATAAACAAGTCACTCAAAAGCTGTATCACTGGACTTTTATTACTGAAGTTTTGCTCCAAAATCGAGTTTAAGTTAGAAGAAACACCATGTTTTATAGGTTTTAAAACATTTTATATTTTGCATACAAGTATTGTTGCGTCATCGAGGTCACGTGACTAGTGTGACGCCA